GCCCCCCGGGCAGGACGGGGGGTGGGAGGGCCGCCAAAGGCGAGACTCCCGGGGTGGGGGTGGAGGGGGTCTCTGGCTGGGAGGGGGCCGCTGGGGAGCCCGGCTCTCCCGAGCAGGACGGGTCGGTGGGCTCCAGGAGGCTGCCTTTCAAGCTATGGGCCCCTCGGGCAACAGGAGGCCAGGCATCGCCCCCCCCCTCCCGCAACCTTTGCCATTAAGTCACTGCAGTTCCTTGCAAATGAATTAATTCCGGGGCTCGAGGGAGCCGGGCGAGACCTTGGAGGGGCTGCCGGGGAGGGCGCCGGTTTCCACTCGCAGACCAGCACGTCTGCCCGGCCTCTAGCCATTCTGGCATTGCCCGGATGGAGTAGTTTCCATCTCCAAGATCCTACTTTAAAACAACCAGTTACAAGTAGTTACTCGATCAGTGCAATTACTGCTGGCAAAGCCAGGTAGGCGGCTTCCGCCACAGCGCATGCGCAGCCAGACTTCTCTGGCTCCGCGTAGAAGCGCGTTCGCGTCAGATGGGACGATACCTCGGGAGAAGTAGCATGCGCATGCGCAAAGAATCGTCGCCTTCCAAAGCTTGCCTTTGCAGCGCCGTCGCAAGAAGAGAGCGTCATAGGCGCCCTTCGATCTACGCGAGGCCCCTCGTCGTCTGCAAAGTGATGACGTAGCAAGTGCGCCCATCATTCCTTTCCCGACGCGTGCGCAGACGGCCGTGGGGTTTCCGTGGAGATGTCGGTTCGCGTGAAACGGGAGCGGGATTCCCGGCCGCTCTCCAGCCGCGTCAAGACTGAGGCTGTCTGGGACGGAGGGATCGCGTCGCGCAGGCCGGCGGACCCTGCCGCGGAAGCGGGTCCCGTGCGAGTGAAGCGGGAGCCCGAAGACGAGCCCAGGATCAAGCAGGAGCCCGGGGAGGAGGAGGAGGAGGAGGAGAACGAGCCCACCGGTGGGTGCGGGCCGGCGGAACTCCTCGCCACAAGAGGCGGCGGGGCCCCAGGGAACGCTCGGGCCTGCAGCAAGTCCCATGCGCCCCCGCCGTCGTCCGGGCCGGGTGGGGATGATGGGCGTTGTTGCTCGGCAACATCTTGGGGGGCGGGTGCAAGCGTGGCCTGGCAGAGCTGTGGGCATGATCCTCGAGGAAGGAGGACGTCCGTTGGCGGAGGCGGCGAGAGGGCTACAGAGGCGCGGAAGCGGGCTGTGGGCGGTGTGGGGGGAGGCCAGGCTTTTCTGTGCCAGCGCCTGCTTCCCCCGAAGGTGCGTCGTGTTTCTGGGGAGAGGAAGAAACCAAAACGTGCTGTATCGTTTTGATGGAGCCAAGTAGTTTATGGCAAACCTACTTATTTGCTTTCATCTCCGTTAGTCTTCTGCAGTTGTTTGCTCTTACTGCGGGTATTAAGTAAATAATATCACCTTTCTCTCCCGTTTACCTGTAATAGCAAAATATGGCCGATTTGACCCTGAGGACCGACGAAGCAGACACTGCCCCTACTTGGACACCATAAACAAGTCAGTATCAAGCTGAAATAAGGCAGGGGGGCAATAAATTGATTTATGGGGGGGAGTATATATGCAGAGGTGGAAAAATCATGTGAGTAGCAACAGATAAAGCAGATGTAACGGCACAGTGTCTCATGCTAAGATGTACAATTTGTGGACAATTTAATACTAGGGGGAATTTTTAAAACCACATATAGTTGGAATGATTTAAATATACTGTATGCATTACTTATTTCTATTTCAGATTGCAATTTAGTCTGTTTCTTGTAAGAGTATATAGAGCTAGTTGTGTATAACTTGGCACAAATATTTTAACCTGTTGTATTTTTTTTATAAAGAACTAGGGGCTTGTATTCAGACTGATTACAAATGGGTACATTGTTGGAATGGACTTGCAAGTAGCTGTATCTGAAAATATTTGCAGCTGCGAAAGTAGGAGGAGGGTTGTAAATAGAAAAAAGGTTTCCAATTTAGAATAAGCAAACAAAGAAAAATAACAGTTTAGCTACAATAAGAAAAGTTGTCATGTTCTTAGTAATATCCAGAAACAGCGGAAATGACTGCTACATTTGTTTACTAGAAGTAACAATAGTCAGAGTGTGCCTCACAGTCAAAAGTCCTCCTTTCAAAGTTACTCCCAGCTCTCTGGACCACCTAACAGGCTTCAGTATTACTAACAATTGTAAATAAATATTGGTAGGGAGTTAAATTTGGAGGCCTCCTCAACTCTGCAGCTGTCCTGCGGGAGAGGAGCGCCGTCTCCCTTGAAGCGCTAGGCTTGGCGAAAGGTGGGAGTCACATACAGGGCTTCTGTGAGGGAGGATGGGGCTCTTCTCTAGGAATTCTGCATAAAAGGGGCAAAACCCTTTGCTTCCCTGCATTCTGCTGGATAGGCATTTCCCTGGTCTCCCGCAGTGCCCATCTGCCATGCAACGTGGGCAGTGCTGATCTCTGCTTGGGGGTTCTATTAAATGTTGTTGGACTAAGGTTTCTGCCTATCAGGTGGCATTAATGTGTCAATGTTGTGCCATTCTAGGAGTGTGTTGGACTTTGACTTTGAGAAGCTGTGTTCTATTTCTCTCTCGCATATCAACGTCTATGCTTGTTTGGTGTGTGGGAAATATTTCCAGGGTGAGTTTGTTTCCGTGTTCATTATTCCGTTTCTCAGTACAAAACTATTTTCTGGAAATGCCTCCTCTGTGGTGGAGAATGCTGGGAAATCTAGGAGCAGATTTCATATGTGAAGTAAAGAGGGAGAGATGTTAGGACGAAGCTTCTGATCACAGAAGTCTCATAAATGGTGCTGCAGTACTTCTTCCCTCTTACTGTGTTTTTATAGTGTCTTAAAATTGGCTGTCCCCCCCCCCCCCAAAAAAAAAAAAATTCGTGTGTGAAATTCAGCCTTGGTCACTTTCCTTGTGAACCCTTTGGATTGCCAGCGATTGACTCTGCCATCAGTTGGGAGAATCCTCCATGAGCAGAATGTCAGGATAAACTCTGGTCCTGGCAGCCAGCAGCCTCCCTTGGCAAGCATTATTCCTCTCCGTGGTGACTTTTCTAGCCACTCTCTGCCCTGCCCCATTTCCTTCCCCTGCTCTGTCTTTTGGCCAGCCTCCCTTCTTGAATGCAGGCCCCCTCTGAGCCGGCATGCCTCAGTTCTCAGTCTCTGTTACTTATTTTCTCTGCCTCCTCTCCCCAACCCCCCAAGAAGGAAGCAGGTTACTCCTTCTAAGCCAACTGCCTATATGTGCTCTTCCTTCCTTCCTTGTCTTTGTCTTTGCTCTCCTTTCGGCTTTCGTTTCCTTGCGTCCTAACTTCTTTCAACCTGCTTTTTGTGTGAGATGCTGCCAAATGAATAAATTTCCAGCAAACATCTCAGCAGCCTCCCTAGCCAGTGCAACTTGTCACTGGTGCCACAAATACAGTGTATGAGAGTGCCTGGTATCCATAGTCATTCTTACGTCTGTTCAGTTGCTCAGAGCCAGATGTGTCCTCTCTCTTATTGACAGGGTTTGCTTGCCTCCCCTTTTCCCTGCAGGTCGGGGCTTGAAATCCCATGCTTACATCCACAGTGTCCAGTTCAGCCATCATGTCTTCCTCAACCTTCACACCCTGAAGTTCTACTGCCTGCCAGACAACTATGAAATCATTGACTCTTCGCTTGAGGATATCACTGTACGTGGCTTTCTAAATGAAGGATTGAGGGTTGTGAAGCCCAGCAGGGAAATGGCATACTCTTTAGTGTGAAGGTGGAAGTCTGCTTTCCTGATAAATGATTTAATAGTATTTTTTAAAGTTTTGTTCCATTAACATTCTGTAGGTCTTTGAAGTTCCCAAGGCTGCTGTGGTTTTTAACATTCTTTTAATGTATAAGTGTGTGTCCTGTACTATTTCATAACTAGTGGGATCATAATCTTCTGTGTAGACATCACTGCCTTATTTTACATTGGGCTTGTCTTGCTCCCACACTGATAGGACTTCATTCACCCATGTTTGCTGTTAAAGGAACAGTGTGTTTACAGTTGAAAATGCTGCTGCTTAAAATGATTTGCTGTTGCATTGTTGACAGTCTATCAGCTGAACCTTGACAATCTGCAGAGTGACCTTCCGGGGAGGGCAGCCATGGCTAGGCAGAGGCTCTGATCTGACCACAGCAGAGCTGCCTGGCTCCTGCTGACCCTCTCCTGGCCTCTGTCTTCTCTCCGCCCTCCAGTATGTTCTGAAGCCCACCTTCACCAAGCAGCACATTGCCAACTTGGACAAGCAGGCTAAGCTCTCTCGGGCCTACGATGGCACCACCTACCTGCCAGGCATTGTGGGACTGAACAACATAAAAGCCAACGACTATGCCAATGCGGTCCTCCAGGTACTGGGATGTGGACTAAAAAAACACACAAAAAAAGAGGAGGAGGAGAATGTGGGAGCCCCCTAGGAACCACTTGGCTGCCCTTTTAGACAAGGTTGTGGGGACGGCTGTGGCTCGGAAGCCTTCTCATTGGCGCCGTCGGTACAGGCTTGTGCTCGGCAGAGTGCTGTGCCTCGATTCTCCCCTTCCGGGGTTCACAACATCTAAACAATTGCACCTGGTGTAAACTGAGGCTACACCTAGAATAGAGATCTCCTGCTGTTTGGGCTTGTGTGGTGTGGGCCTGGCAGCAGCCGCTCCTTGAGCAAGATCTTGAGCTCCAGAATTCAGGGGTGTAAAATTGTAGGGCCGGTGGCCGCGGAGCTCAGTTGCTGCGATAGCATCTCGATCGAACTTAGCCCTGCGATGCAGTCTACTCTGCTTTTTAGTTTTGGGGCCTTTGCGCTTTAATGAGCGCCGTCCAACGTCTCATCACCCCAATGTTTCTAGGCCCTGTCGAACGTCCCGCCCCTACGGAATTATTTCCTGGAGGAGGAGAACTACAAGAGCATCAAGCGTCCTCCAGGAGACATCATGTTTCTGCTGGTCCAGAGGTTTGGAGAACTCATGAGGAAGCTGTGGAATCCCCGAAATTTCAAAGCTCATGTCTCTCCCCATGAAATGCTGCAGGCGGTGGTTCTTTGCAGCAAGAAGAACTTCCAGATCACCAAGCAAGGTGAGAGAGGGCAGGAGCTGAGAAGGAAAGGGAACGAGGGCCTCGGAGCAGCCTCCTGGCTGCCTTAACCGCTGCAGCCTCCCTCCAAGTAGCAAGCTGTTGGAAGTGATAGGACGGGTCCTTTTTTATTGGTGAAATATTTTTTGTCCCACCCTGTCAGGCAGGGGGTGTGGGTGCCATCCACAATCACCCATTTGTGTGGCTCAGAATTCCATTTTCCCCTTGTTCTTCTTTCTGCTGCTGCTTCAAGCTGTGATTGGGGTGGCCCCACTGTTTGGGCAAGGAAGCCTTAGCACCCAGTCAGCGGTGCATCGGGGAGGGCCCGAGGGGCACTTAGGCTGTGCAAGAGAGAAAGTTGGCTGTCAAACCAGATGTAGTTTGTTCTGTTTCTGGTGAGTCTGTCTTCTGCCCCACCAGTCCGGGTGGGCATCAGCAGCAACTGCCTCCTGTTCACCAATTCCAGTCTTTCTGTAGCCTCCCATCCAGAGCCCTGGCCCTCCTGCCTTGCCAGGTCCCACCCACAAGTCATTCGTCTGGACACATTTGCACCACTCTCAACAGACTCTTCCCCCCTCCGATCACCCTGACTTGATCTTCCCCTTGAGTTTCCGTTCTTGTCCATCTACAATCTCTGGAGGGGGAATGAGAGAACAATGTGTAAAGGGGGGGGAAGTCAGTTGGCCTCTTGCCTGCATCAACCCCTTCTTTGCACGACCTCAAGTGGAGGATTCCTTACCTTGAGGAAGGGTTTTTTTTCTTTTCCTCTCTAAGTACTGAGGCTGGATCCTGGAGGCTGCCGCCTTAGCTGACTCTGCTACCTTTCTTTCCTTCCATCCTGTCTATCTTCTCCCTCTTTGCAGGCGATGCGGTCGAATTTCTTTCCTGGTTCTTGAATGCCCTGCATTTGGCTCTTGGTGGGACAAAGAGAAAGAAAAAGAGTAAGTGACGGAGGGCGACGCCTCCATGGTCGTTTCATGCACTCTCCTAAATAAGATTACAAACTGTTGGGAAACGGCACAGGGTTGGTAAAGATTGGTAGAAAAAAGTCCTACAGGATGTGATTCCAGCACATTATTATAATAAGCGCCTTCAGGACAAAGAAAGCTTGGTGTGTGTCTCCACCTGGTGCGGGAAAGCAAAACAGACGGTGCCAGATCGGCTTCCCTGAGGAGAAAGGTGCAAGGTGGGCTATCACAAGAGACGCTCTTCTCCTCTGCCTCCCCATCCTTGGTAGGCCAGAGACCTCCAGGAGGTTCTCCATAGCTGGCCATGAGTTCGTCGGGAGAGAGGGAGTCGGATCAATTTAGTGCTTGTATTACTGGACGGGAGCCCTAAATAGCCAGGGCCCAGGTTCCCCCTCTGAGGTTCTGGCATGGCCCCGTGTGACAATGTTCTGAAGGTCAGCTTCCAAGGCTCTCCTCTCTGGCCCATTTCTACTGAAAGTTTAGCCGTTGGGTATCAAGAAGAGCACCTCCTTGGTGGTGACAGTGCAGCGATGGAGTTTCCGTCCTGGGAGGAGGGAAGAAGCTTCCTTTCCCACCATTTTAAAACATCTTTGACTTTTTCTTCTTCTGTAAGCTTTGGTGAGAGGTTTCCCTCTTTTTAGGCTAGATCATGTGTATTTTAGGTTGGGGTGGTTCTCTCTACATGCACAAACACAATTCAGCTTTGTATGTGTAGATTTATTGGAGGGAGGGTTGTTCTGCGAGTTGTCTCACAGAATTCCTCAAAGGTGGAAAACAGATTGTTGAAACAGAATCACAAACGACTCGAGCCATGGAGGAGGAGTTAAAACGTTTCGCCTTTTTGTTATTTCTCGACAGCCATTGTGACAGATGTCTTTCAGGGCTCCATGCGGATATTTACCAAGAAGTTGCCACACCCAGATCTGGTACGTTTCTGTCAGCTGCTGGATTCTTTCTTACAAAGGTGGGGGAAGCTCCTGGGAGGAGCTCCTGGGAGTGGGGCAGGAGGTAGGAAGAGGTTGCCTTATCTGGGGCTACAGGAGAGTATCCTGCAAAGTTCAGTGTTTGACATTTGACACTCACAAAGTGTGAGAAAGAGTGTCCCGGGTTTGTGGGCACAGGTTGGCAGCAACCATCCACATCTACAGCAGGCGGGTGAGTGGCATGAAGGTCCTGCCCATCCTGCAGGCACCTTGTCTGAAGGAGTTGCTCCACATGTACACTCGCCCCCGCCCCCACTCTGCTTGTCCCACCGCAAGCCCGTCTGTGGCTGCCCTGAGGCTTCATTCCCCCTTGCTTTGCTGACCCTTGTTTTCTTCCAGCCTGCAGAGGAGAAGGAGCAGTTGCTCCAGAATGACGAGTATCAGGAGAAGATGGTGGAGTCCACCTTCATGTACCTGACTCTGGATCTCCCCACTGCCCCGCTGTACAAGGATGAGAAGGAGCAGCTGATCATTCCACAGGTGCCCCTTTTCAACATCCTGGCCAAGTTCAATGGAATTACAGAGAAGGTAAGTCTCTCCCTTCCAGCTCTGAACCTCGAGAGCAGGGTAGAGAAGGCGGGGAGGGTGCAGGGGTAGGCGACATCCTTCGGACCGAAAGCTGTGTGGTGGAAGCTCCAGGTGTTGCCCTGCTGAGCCAAAGGCTGCCCCCACCTTGCCTCACTGACAGAGCTCCCCTCCTGGCTGCCTTGTCTGCTCGTCCTGGTCCACCTGTGAGCCATCCGTGAGCTTCCATTTGATTTTACAGGACTGTAAGCCGAGGAGGGGCCTGTGCAAGGGAAGTCCTCCCTGCACGCTTTCCTCCCCATGAGGTGCTTGTCCTGTCTGCTGGAAGGCTCTCTGGGAGCAGCCACCCAGTCTCTCCCTTTGGGGTGGAGGGGGATCTGACCTTCACCACTTCAGCCGGGGAAGCTTCTGAAGCCAAGGTTTGCCCCACTGACCTGCCAGTGCCTCCATAGGCAGGGTTGCCACCGGAGTTTGCTTTCGGTCTTTCAGGAATACAAAACCTACAAGGAGAACTTCCTGAAGCGCTTTCAGCTCACCAAGTTGCCACCTTACCTCATCTTCTGCATCAAGAGGTTTACCAAGAACAATTTTTTTGTGGAGAAGAACCCCACCATTGTCAACTTCCCCATCACGTAAGTGCCCTCTGTGGGAGCAGTGACAGCTCTGAAACCTGGTTCAACCAATGGCTTCCTGGTGTGAAAACTGAACTAGGAACGAGCCTCGTAGCTGATGTGATTTCTCAAGTCACTTCTGGATTGATGATGGGTGGTTAGCTTCCTCTTAGTTTCACCGTGATAGGCTCTTTTGGCCTCTAGGCTTTTTCAAGGAGCAGTGAATTTTTTTTGTAGAGTCAGATCTGTGGCCCATCCAGCTCAGGATTCTTCCAGGATTCCAGGCAGAAATGGGTTATTGCCAGCCCTGGTGGGTCCTAGGAGCCAAGACATCCTGCTGTGTCTAGCAAGTGCTCTGCCTCTGACTTTGGGCTTCTGAGCTGATGTCCAGAGTGAAATGGCCAAAAAACTACACATTCTTAGCTCATTGGATCAGCATAGACCTTCCCCACTGGAGCCACCTTCAAGGGCCCTGCGCTTCCTTCTCCACTTCCTGAGTAGGTCTCCCAGTTCAGAGGCATGGCCCAGCAGTTGCTTGAGAATGGTGGTCCTGGAAGCACCCTCTCTCCCCTCTGCAGAGCGGCCTTCCTCTAAAAACCATCTATGATGAGGGCTGCCCAGTTGGCTGTAGCTGCTGCCGTCTCTTGGCTTCTTGCAGGGACCCCGTTGAGTCTTGGCCACAGCCCTGAGGATGGCCCATGTTTGTGCTCAGAAGTGGATGATGGTTCTTAGAACCACAGAGAGAAGAGGGTCACATTCTGGGAATTAGTAGTTGTACAGTCACAAGCTGGCTTGAACCAGGATCCGAGTGAAGGCAAATGGGCTCCCTTTTGGGCCGAGCGTTCTGCTCGAGGCGCCGCCATGGGTTCCTTGCGGAAGTCTGTCTGGAGGGCGATCCTTGTGTGGGGTGTTTTGGGCAGGAAGCTAGCCACCTGCAAGTCGATTTAGTGCTGTCTTTTCTCTTGCAGGAATGTGGACCTGCGAGAGTACCTGTCCGAGGAAGTGCAGGCGGTGCACGAGAACACGACCTACGATCTCATTGCGAATATTGTGCACGATGGGAAACCTGCGGAAGGAGCCTACAGGATCCACGTGCTGCATCATGTGAGTCCTCAGCGGGGCACTCTGTGTGTGTGTGTGTGTGTGTGTGGGCTGGGCTGGGCTGGGCTGTCCTGTCATGACCGTGTTCTTGCCCTGCTGCTTCTCGGGCACCCCTGTGGTTCTTGGCAGCTCTGCTACAGGACTTTTATGGAAGGGCACCTTGAACAGGGTATTGTGCTTGCCAAAAGCCAACCTCGCCTGGCCCCGTAGGCCCTCTGGTGCTCTCCTGTCTAGCCTCTCCTCTGATGTTGCTTCCCCCTTTGTGACCCCCCTCCCCTCCGGCAGGGAACGGGCAAGTGGTATGAGCTGCAAGATTTGCAGGTGACCGACATTCTCCCCCAGATGATCACGCTTTCTGAGGCTTACATCCAGGTGAGTGCTGAGGTTGTTCAGAGCCGGCCTGGTGGCTCTGCTGGGTGGAGTCCATCCCAGATATTTTGGGGTGGGGAGAGGAGGTGCTGAGAGACCCTCTGGCTCCTAGGGAATGTCAGTGCAGGGAGTTGCTTCCAGCCTTCCTTCCTGGGGGGCCCCCTTGACGTGGAGGCCTTGCACATTGGCCCCTTGAGGCCAAGTAGACAGACTGAGCAGATAAGCTGAAAGGCCTCCTTCAGGTCCATCCTGGGGCCTCTCAGCGCCATTGCAGGGGGAACGAATAAGGCAAAGAAAAAGTGCTCTTGACTCCTAAGGGGTTTGGTTTATTTCTGTAGATCTGGAAGAGGCGAGATGGCAAAGAAGAGACTAACCAGCAAGGGGCATAAAAGGGAGAGCGGGAGCTGCGGAGGACTCGAGAGGGCAGGGGCGGGCGGGCCCCCAACACCTCTCCTGCAGGTTCTGGAGGGTTCCAGCCGTGGGGCAGCTGGGGCCGTGCAGGGAACTTGACCTCCCTTTGAGAAGACTCCCTTCCCCAGTGTGGTTCGTCCGCCCCTTCTTCAGACCATCCGGATCAACAGGCCCTCCTCGCTGCCACTTTAGTCGACCCAGAGTGTGCAAGATGGCCAAGCGAGGGACTTGCCGAGGCCTCTCTGGCCGCCGCTTGCCTTCTGCCTGTAGAAACCTTCTGTTCAGGCAGCCTCCAGGGCTGTGGGGCGGGAGGAGCCGGGTGTCTTGTGTGGGGTGCTGCTGCATCCACCCCCCTGTTTCTGCATTAAACGTGTGCACTTGGTTTTGTACGTACCTTCTGTCTTCCCTCTGCCTCCGCCCCAAACACAGCCCTGCCCTCGTACTGGAAGAGCGGCAGGCAGATTCAGATTGCCACTTGCCGAGTTCCACAGAGTTGTGTAAGGGCTCCACATTCGTCTCGTGGTGTTAATTGCTCAGATCCCTCAAAAGTGGACGGCCTCAGGGACTGAAGGACGGGGCAGCAAACACTGACAAGGGTGGGACTTACTTTCTGGCCATCTCTGTTATTAGCAGCTCAGTTGCCAAGAATGCATCCAAGTCCTCCCCCCCCCCCCGCTGCCATTGCCTTTCTGCCTCGTGAGCGATGTGGATGCAAGAGAGAGCCAACCCCTCCGTCATCACCACCCCACTCCCTCCTTGGTGTGCCTGGCATTCTGCCGGTCCTTGGCACTCGTGGGTTTGGCCCAAGAGGGTCCATGGGCCACTCAGAATGATTCTTCCACGTCACGTTCCTCTCTCAAGCCACCCCCTCCCTCTGGATAGGCTGGAAGGAGGGGCTGCTGGACCTCAGGCCTGGCTTGTCCTGGGGAGGACATCCCCTCCAGGGGGTTCCAGAGGCACTTGCTTGGAAGGCTAGGAAGGGATCTGGCCGGAGCCCCCAAAGAGCCAGTGCGGTCACTTGGCACTGGCAGTTCTAGCCCAGATGGGCAAGGGGCCTGGCCCCCCCCCCCGCTGCCATTGCCTTTCTGCCTCGTGAGCGATGTGGATGCAAGAGAGAGCCAACCCCTCCGTCATCACCACCCCACTCCCTCCTTGGTGTGCCTGGCATTCTGCCGGTCCTTGGCACTCGTGGGTTTGGCCCAAGAGGGTCCATGGGCCACTCAGAATGATTCTTCCACGTCACGTTCCTCTCTCAAGCCACCCCCTCCCTCTGGATAGGCTGGAAGGAGGGGCTGCTGGACCTCAGGCCTGGCTTGTCCTGGGGAGGACATCCCCTCCAGGGGGTTCCAGAGACACCTGCTTGGAAGGTTAGGAAGGGATCTGGCCGGAGCCCCCAAAGAGCCATTGTGGTCACTTGGCACTGGCAGTTCTGGCCCAGATGGGCAAGGGGCCTCGCCTGGCCTGGCCAAAGGCTGACCCCTGCAAAAAGTGTCTCTTATGTCACAGACCATGAGCGTCAAAGAAACGTGAGCTTTATGCAAGGAAGAGACTCCATAGGATGTAATTTGGGGATTAACTTTAGTAGCTGAGAATATGAACGCCTGCCCCCCCCCCGGTCCCATTAGGATCCCCTGCCCAGCCCAGCCCACCCCAGTCAGTCCACAAGGACAAATCCAAGCCAGTGGCGTAAAGGGAGCAGGACTTTGCTTGGAAGAAAGCAGGGCCCTCCTTGATGGGCTACAGCCACACGTGAGCCTGGCAGTGGTGCAGGGCCTGGAGGAGGAGGAGGAAAAGAAGGGAGACGTGAGGCTGGGCTCACCCCGCAGAGGGCAAGGCTCAGTGGGACCTCACAGCAGTGTGTGCCCCTGCAGAACTAAGCTGAGAACCACCCAGAGAGGAGTGCTCTTCTGGAGCAGGAGATCGGCCGCACCCTTGGCTTTGGCTTTTGCACTCGGCGCCTGAAAGCAGCAGAGCAGGCCTGGCTGCTTCCTGTGGGGTGGGGGCAGGCATTTTGCAACCAGCTTTGTGACGCTTGGGCTGAAATGCAGCAGCTCTGCAAGGTGACAGGGAGGCCCCCTCTCCTCGGTTTTGGATCAGAGAGCTATCAGGGGCGATGAGTCTTGGGGGTGTTCTGTGCCCCTGAAGACAGATAGGGGTGGGGGAATTGTGAGGAAGAGGGAAATGCGTTGCAGTCCTTTCTGGCTGGTGGGCAACCCATGGGCCCCTTCCGTGCCCGGCAAGGGGAGGGGTGGAGAAGAAGCACAAAGTTGGACTCGACCGATCAACCCGTCTCACCTTGCATTGTTCGGCCGCCCCCAAGCTGGAGCACCAATAAACGGGGCCCCGGGCGCAAGCTGGGTCCCTGACCAAAGGCTCCTCTTCAGCCGTACAGGCGCCCAACTCCTGTTGGCAAGGCCAAAGAGGAACAGAATCAGGGGGAGGGAGGCGGCCCACCCCCACCCCTGGCTTTCTGTGTGCTTCTCTCGGGTGCCTGCGATGCTGATGCGTGTGTTCGGCCTGGACAGCCCCTGGCGCGGGTCGGGTGGGGTCTGGAAGGGATGCCCCGAAGGAGGCCCAGGTCTCCACTGCCGGGTCCCCTTTCTGGCTTTTTAGCTGGGCATGAACCGAGGCCTGGGCAAGAACGAGTAACTCTCGAGGTGCGGTCGCTTCCCTCCCGCAGGGGCGGCTCCACAACCCCTTCGGGAGGCACCGCATGTGCGTCACTCCTGCGCATCTCAAATTTCCCAGGGGATAAATGTGTTAGCCTGCTTGAGCAGAAGCCATCGCCTTCCTTCTTCAGCCAAGAGCTGAAGGAAGAAGGTAATTCCAGCCAGCTTCTCTCTCCTCGGCTGGGCTGGGCTGGGCTGGGCTGGGCGGCGGTGCTTCCGAAGCAAAGTTCCACCGAGTGCCCAGGTGTCTCTTCGGTCCATTTCTTCGGTTCTGCTAATTGCCCGTCACTGATGGGGTGTTGCAATGTTATGGATGCCTGGCCAGCTCTTCATCGTGTGATACTCAGCCACAGACCCTCGTGGGTGATATGGGGGTTGTGGGTTTGGGTGTGGGTGTCTTTTATTCACCTGGAGAGCTGGGCTCTTGTGAACCATCCTACCTGGCATGTCGTCTTTGAATTCCATGGTTTTGCGAGCAGCGTGAATAACTTTGGTTGGTGCTGGTGGAGGAAACTCTTGCACTGCAAAGGAGTAGGGAGAGAAGGGCTGTCTAGGTGCTTCTTGGGGCCCCCTTTGTGCCCTTGACCCTCCTGGGCCCAGAAGTGGCCTGCCCCGTCTCCCCCTGCTGTCTGGCCACCCCTGCCAAGAAGGAGCGTCTCTCTCTCTCTCTCTCTCTCTCTCACCTCTTGCCAGTCCAGGAAACTGTCGGCACAGGCCGTGAGGACGGCCGCCTCCATCTCTGCCTGGGGGGTTGGGGTGGCGGTGCGGTTGTTGGCCTGGAGAGCTGCCTTTGCCCGCTCGCTGAGGGCCAGGCAGACCTGGCATCTGCCCGCAGGGGCTGGAGGTGCCCCTCGAGGCATCTCTGTGGCGGGGAAGAACAACGCTGGGGTGAGAAAAGGGCAGCCCAGGCGGTTCCTGTCTCTGGGACGGGATGAAATGGCCCCTCTGGCCTGAAGGACGCCCCCTCTCCCGTTTCCTCTCCCGGTTCCCTACGGCTGCTGGTCTCTCAGCCTCCTCTGCCCTCCCGAGCGTCTCAGCCAGGAGGAGCCCCAGCCTGCCGGCCGCCTTGCCCCCTCCTTGCCAGCCAGGAAGAGGAGCCTCCCTGGGCATTGGAGGGGCTGGAAGGGGCTCCAGGGGTCATCCAGCCCAACCCCTGACAACGCAGGGCAGGCACCGCTAAAGCACCCTTGACCCTTACGTGGCAGTGAACTCTGACACAAGCCTGCCCCCCCTCTGGCCTCGGCCATACGGGAGCCCTCACACACACCCTTTCTCGGAGGAGGGCTCCTTGTCTCACCTGCCAAACCCCCCTCCCTCCTCTGAGCACCCCTGGGAGGCTGGCCGCCGCGGCAGGCAGTGGGAGGCCTGGCTGGTGGGGGGGCGTTCCGCCTGGGGCAGCCCAGCTGGCAAAGAAGCCGGGGCGGCCGCCGTGTGCCTGCTTCTGGAACAGCCTTGAGAGAAGGCCCCGGGGAGCTCGCTTGTGTACCTTGACCAGAGGCCTCCTCTGCCGCACACATGCGGATCATCTGGCACATCAGCTGCGGCCCCAGCTTCTCCAGCAGCATGTCCACCAGGATCACGGAATATTTTTCCATCATGCACTCGCACATTCCTGTAGCCGCTAAGGGCAGAGCCCGGCACAGCTGGGACATGCTTTTGCTGATGGTCGCCTGAGGAAACAGCAAAGGGGGACGGGAGGGAGAAGGGAGAAGCGAGTGTGGGGCTTTCCTGCCTTCCAGGCACACAGGGCAGGGAAATAACAAGGAGAGGCCTGGGGCAGGATCCTCTCTGTTTCTGCTGGCCCCTTGCAGGCAGGTGGGGTCGCACAAGGAGGTGCTCGCCCCTTCCTTGTGCCAAAGGCAGACCCATCCCTTCGGAAGGAACAATCCCCGGCCAGCATAACGGCCAACCTGGAGACCATCCACCTGCAAAGTGTTGCCGCCTGGGTCGCATCCGCAGGATTCTCCCTTTAAGTGGCCGCAGGATGTTAAGGAGGACAGAAAGACTGTGCACTGTATGCAACTTTAAGCCTGCCAGTAATGAACGGGGCCGTCTTTTGCAAAACATGAATTTAATAGATGCATAGAAATGAGTCCACGGGGGAGAAGAGGAACTTGCACATGACCGATTCTCCAGAGCATGAAACGTGTCCACAAGCTGGCGATGTTTGAGTCTCTCAGACCCCCATCGTCTCCTGCTCTTTCAGGTCTGAGCGCTTGGTCGAAAGATCAACAGCTCAGACACCATTCTGCCATTCGTGTCCTTTTACAGTTAACAGAGTCCCAAAAAATATCACACGCATGGCGTCAAAGCAGAAATGGTTTATAGAATTTCCTGGGTGGTGGAGAAGAAAGTACTATGAATTTGATAACAGTTCTTAATTTTTTTTTCAAAGACAGAGAAACAGAATACAAAACATCAAAAGGAAATAGGGAGGCTTATCTTGAAAACAGAGGAAAGAGGTGCAGAATTTGAAATTCTCTTCTCTGCCTTATGTTCCACAGCCATATAGGGTACACATAAGACTCAGGATTACCTACAAAAGAATGGATTGCATTAAACAAGACTCATCCCCAAGTACTGCCACAGGAAAATATTTTTTAAAAAA